CGACAAACGCAGATATATATATATATATATATATATATATATATATATATATATATATATATATATATATATATATATATCTATCTACACATATATAATATATATGCTAGCATATTGGCCTATTTCTAATGTTGACTTTAATATTTTAAGCTAGATGATGCGATGCAAGCCCTATTAAATTGCTTTAATAGCTACTCTTATAACATATATTTAAAAGATGACATATTTCATATTTTCCTCAGCACCACGAATTAAATTAGGCCTAACGTTCGCCAAAAGAAACACACTTGAAACTCATGCAAGAGACGGGTATTTCGAGACTCGGATCAGTCCCGACAGGTCATAAGGGGGATGAAATCGACTAGCGATTATTATTTAATTTTCTGAAATTGTGGGGGGCATGGTACTGACTCAAATGAGCAATTATTCATTGTAGGCAAGGTTAGGCACACTGTACTGTAAGTCACTTATTTTAGCGATCTTGTAATGCATGCATCAAAATGATTTTTAATTTAGGGTCCAGAGAAAAACTTTAAAAAATTTTTAATCAAGATTTTTAAAAAAAGTTGTTTGGTCGCTGGCCTGCAAATTCGAAGTGCTAGCCAAAGTTTCGTGGACATAGATCTAGATCTAGCTAAATTAATAAAAGAGCTAGATCTAGAATTTTTTTAACGCAGTCAGACGAAAGTGAACAAATAATATTATAATTCATAGAGGATTTCTAAAAGATTTAGGTTAGGCCTGACATTCCAGTCCAGTCAGTTCAAATTATCTAGACTCTAGATTTGCTTTGAACATACACACACTTAGAAACATTCGCAGCCCTAACATTTACACACGCTTTATACAAACATTCACAGTACGATAAGGAGGACCAAGTCATCTTTTTTTTTCTTTTGGGCGGGAGGGGGGGGGGGGGGGAGGCGCGCAATATTTGTCAGTATTGCGATATAACCGACTCCCAACCCCTCTCTTGCGAAATAGAGAACCATTGCGCAGACATAATATTTATAATTATCAAAATGGGACAGTCCCGATCAACTGCCAAGTTGGCTATGACAAAAGTTTCCAGTTTCCGTCCACGACGTTCGCCAACATGACTGAATTATCAGTCATCACGTTTGTGAAAAGTATTATTGAATTTCTTTTAGGACATGAAATCGAATTTTGAAAATAGAGGAAATTTTTGTAATCATTGACTTCTTTTTGAACATTCAAATTTGCACCAGAAATTCAGTTTTATCCTTTTTTTTATAAAATCTTTTTCGCGGTTTTCCTTATTTAAATATGACAGGCCAGTCGTACTTCCTGAAAGTTATAATTAGATACAAAAATATTGTTTACTTCTTCTCTTCGATCAGTGATCACTGATCAGTCAAGAATTAAGAATTGAAGACGTAGGACACAATACTGAGAACAGCTATGGCAGAGGCACATGCGTTTCAACCTGGCACTGGGGTAGCACCAGCAACACTTGTGGAATTATCTATTTCGTGCCGGTAACATTTATTATCTTTTTAATTTTAATCCTTCCTTGTTGACGGGTCCCGGACCATTCGTACATTATTGCGCGAGAAAGTGGGGTGGGGGAGGGGGGTTCCGGGGGGGGGGGTCTCCCCCCCTGACAAAATTTTAATGAATAGATCTACCGGTCCGAGATTCTCCTTTGAGAGATATTAAAAACGGGAAAATTATGAATTCCTAAGGTTGAGACATAGCCTAGGCAAAGTCAGTCTGCTGGTCCGGTATTCTTCAAGGCCACCTCTATTCTCACCCGGAGTGAGAATAGTGCAGGCGAGTCTTGTGGCGTTCACCCTAAACCACAGAATTCTACACTGTGATAACAGAAAAATTGTAGAATTCTGTGCCGTGAACAAACGTTCCATTACAACTCGTCGCCTGTCACACGAAAGGGCGTATTCCAGATTTTGGCAGTTTTGAGTTGTTATTACTAGTAGATAGCGCTGCCTCAGATCTATGTTCACACGAAACGGCGTATACCTAGCTTTAAAATAACAGTACCAGCAGTAAAAAAACGAAAAGGGCGTACGCTAACACTCAACGCGACCGAATCAGACGAAACGGCGTACGCAGGCTTGCGCCCTTTCATGTGCAAAAAATTGATACAAAGTTGTATCAAATCTATTCGCACGAAAGGACGTATACCTTGGTTACGCCCCTTCGTGTGAACGACCGTTACACTTTTGTCTTTTTTTTCTGGCATAGGCCAAGGCCGTATGACGTAATATAGTAATACTGGCCCTCCTCTAATGATACAATAGGCCTGTACACAGCGCATGCACTGTGTTGCATCGAATCCTGCTTGCTTTCAAACTGACCTGCTTACCTTCTGACGATTGGAAACCATTCGAAAAAGCAAACTTGGGTTTGATCAAATTTAAATAAGATCTACTT